TAAATCTAATTTACCATTTTCTCAGTTTTTAAGACTGAAACGTAATTCTAGCACACAAAAGGACTTTGAATCTACGGCAGGTATCCTGAAAAAACAACTCAGAGAGAGAGGATACCCTAATAGCATACTCAACACAGCCATGAACAAGGCAAACTCCATCAACAGAGGTGAATTACTACAGGAACGCCCTAGAAAACATAACAACCGCATAATATGGCCCTTGACACTGACACAATATTCATCCAAGATCACTAAGATTATTTCAAAACACTGGCATTTACTACAGGACATTCCTGGATGCAAAGACAAACCTATAATTGCCCATAAAAGATCCAGAAATTTAAGGGACCTTATGATCCACTCTGAATATAACACTCCTAATACATCCCATGAACCTACCACTAGGGGTCACACTAGCTGTGGACACTGTAACTGCTGCCAGCAATCACTTAAGAGTAAAATATACTCTCATCCAACACTCAATATTAATGTCACATTACGACATTTGACAACATGTTCCAGTGATAATGTAGTGTACCTGTTAGAATGCCCCTGCAAATTACTATATGTTGGAATAACTACTAGACCCCTTAAAATTAGGATAAATGAACATCGTTCACGCATTAGGAATGGGTCCACTGACTCTTCATTATATGTACATTTTAATGAAAAAGCACATACACACCATAGCTTTAAATTTTGCGCTTTGGAAAAAATATTACCCAGACCTAATGCAGATACAAAAAAACTCCTTCTGCAAAGGGAATCTTTTGGATCTTCAAACTACAAACACTGGTTCCTCTAGGACTAAATGATAAAATTGAATACACTTGTTTCTTGTGAGATGTAATTCTACTTAAGAGACAGCCCAGCTATGACTCACTGCTCGTTACAGAACTCCTACCACAACAGAGCCTGTAGTACAGAACCTGTATTACTGAAGAGAATGTGAAGTAGAGTAGCGTGTATCTTTACTGTTATTACAAAATGTTTTTCTAATCAATGTTATTTTGGGGAGTTTCATGTATCTATGTTGTATGTTATTTCTACTCCTTATTTAGTGCACTAAGCATAATAAGATAAAGACTACACCCTGAGGAAGATATTGTTCGAAACAAGGATAAACATACCGGAAGACCTTGTTGAGATTTTGTTGCCTATGAAAGACCTTGTTGCCCAAGAAGAATTCCTTGAGACTGTCTTATCAAAAGAAGAATTTTTTTTGAAGATAAAGATAGAGACTCTGGAATTTCTTCACTGAAAGGATGGACTCTATTACCTTTAGTCTGTTGTTGATTTCTCTATGTTAATGTGCTGATAACATTTTTGTTTAATGCTATAAAGTCTAAGACAAGTTATGCCAATAGAGAACATAGAATACTGGTGTATATTACTTTCTTGAGAGTCTGTTAAGATTTACATACATACATTTTTGTTCTTTGTGAAGTTTGTCCACGCCTGCTCTCTACTAAGGCTTCTCTTAAAACCCAAGACAATTTTGGTGACTGCTGCATTTTAATAATCAAAAACAGGGGCATCTTGTAGTCCTTTTTTCTCATGTATCTCATGTGTCATGTGAAAACCAGCATGGCAACTTGGAGACCTCCTGTATGTATGGAGACCTCCTGTATATGTATATAATCATGTATGAGATTTTTAAAGCCCTGCTGGGACTTCAGATAATTTGAATGTTGTTGTCAGGGCTGCACCAGTCCAGAGCATTGCCTACGGTGGGTTCTCAATATCCACTGGAGCTTAGTTACAGGATACCGAAATCCATGGATGCTCAAGTCCCATTGTGTACAAGGGCATAGTAAAATGGGCCCCTTATAGGAGATGCCAAAATCAAACTTTGCTTTTTGATTTTAAACATATTTTCAAGGGGTGGATGGTTGAACCCGTGGATAGGGAGGGACAACAGAAATAATGTTTTGAACATTGAAAGTGCTAAATAAATATCAGCATAATCCTGATGCTATGAACCCTATCCGTGGATGACGAAACCGCGGATATGGAGGGTCGGGTCCATTTAGTTTTATGCCCCATGGGATTCTGGGAATTGTAGTTCTCCATGTTAACCTGTGCACTGCAGTCCAGAAAGGCAGACCTTCCAAGCTCTGCCCACTGCCAGGCCTGCAAGGAAGGTCAGTGGAGGCAGAGGGTCATGTTTATGAGCATGCCACTCATCTACACTGAAGAATCAATGCAGTTTGGTCCCCCTTTCACTGCCGCGGCCGACCGCTATGGAGTCCTCCGAGTCTCACCTTCCCGGCGGCCCCCAATCCCCGGCCGCAGCCCCGGACGGCGCTCAAAAGCAGCATCGCGGGAAGAGCCGGCCCAGAAGCCGCCCTTCCGCCCGCCTCCCACGGAAACGGACACCTCCGTTGTCCAATAACGACTCTGTTCTCCGAAAGCGGGGGCGTGGTCAAAGGAGACGCGCCGGCGAATCCTTGTTGAGACCTCACTTGGGAACCTGAGGAGGGCGGGGCGGGGGGGGGGGAGCCGCGAGGCGGGGAATGTGACGTCACAGAGGCGGGCGGAAGTGGAGGACTTGCACGTGGGCGCGGGCTGCCCGGCAGAGCGATGGGCAAGGCCAGGAGCCCGGCGACTGTGCCGCGCGGCGGGTGAGTGCCCTCTTCCTGGGCGCCCGTGTCATTTCCCCTTCCACTGGTTGCGGGGGAAGGGATGCAGTTCGACCGCGCTTCAGCTGCCACGGCTCAATGCTAGGGGACGCTGGGAGTTGCAGTTTAGCAGCAGCAGCAGCAGCAGCACTCTTTGGCAGAGAAGGCTCAGGTTTTTTTCGTAACAGCGCTCCATGCAGTCATGCCAGTGGCCACATGACCTTGGAGGTGTCTACAGACAACGCCGGCTCTTCGGCTTAGAAATGGAGATGACACCCAGAGTCGGACACGACTGGACTTAATGTCAGGGGAAAGCCAACCAAACCTTTTCGTGTCAAGGGCGACTTGAGTAACTGCAAGTCGTTTCTGGTGTGAGGGAATTGTCCGTCTGCAAGGACGTTGCCCAGGGGACGCCCGGATGTTTGGATGTTTTACCATCCTTGTGGGAGGCTTCTCTCATGTTCCCGGTATGGGGAGCTGACAGAGGGAGCTCATCCGCGTTCTCCCCGGATCGCAACCTGTGACCCATCGGTCTTCAATCCTGCCGGCACAGGGTTTAATCCGTTGCAACACCGGGGGTCCAAGGCTCAAATAATAATAATAATAATAATTTATACCCCACTACCATCTCCCCGAAGGGACTCGGGGCGGCTCAGAAAAGCACTCTATTTATTATTTATTATTTATTTATTTCGAACATTTCTACCCCACCCTTCTCAACCCCCGGGGGGACTCAGGGCAGCTTACAATTGGCAAAAATTCAATGCCACATCATAAAATACAGAGTAATAAATATAATAATTAAACATGAACATTAATAAATAAAGATTAAAACAGTATACTTACACTCTGATTAGCTATTGCCTGTCTGGTGGCTGTTTAGATAGCCACCGGATTAGCTAAATGGTGCAAACACACAAAATATAACAAGTGCATACACAATGGCACAATCGCAATAACAAACGCATAAAACTACAGCTCCTAGGAATCTGTCATACTGATCCATGACAAGCTGCATTCATTTTACAGTGTATGAGATGCTCCCTAAAGGCCCCTTATTGAACTTCAAATCCCACGATTCGATAGGATGTAATAAATAATAATAATAATAATAATAATAATAATTACATAGTGTAATAATAATGCCATAACAGTGCAATGTGAGAGGGCCCCATTGGACTTTGGCATCTCCAAAAGAGTTCCATAATATATTGTTGGGATAAGTACCTGAATGTTGGAACTACGCAACCTTCTCAATTGTCCTCTAATTTAATGATTTGTCCGGATATAATATGCTGTTTTATTTACTGAAGTGTTTATCTATTTTTTGGTGTGCAGTTTTTCCTAACTGTGTTCTTGAGGTTGTGGGAGGGGCTGCAGATCATGTGACCAGATCAAAGACTGTTTAGTGTAACACAGTTTAAAAGATGGCAGTTGAGGGATGACTGTTTAAGATGACAGTTGGAAGTAGACAGTTATAAAGGAGAGTTGTCCAGAGCTGTATAGTCTTGAAAAGACTGATAAAAGACTGAAACGTTTTAAAGAAATGAGCCTGTATATTTAAATACATGAAGCCATCAAATACATGTGCCACAGTAAACTCATCCACAACTAACTGTGCATGACCAAAACAAGGCAAAAATATTTAAATCAGGCTATCACAAGGACTATATATATATTCATGTCAGTTACATTTACTCACCTCATTCTTTTCCCCATACAAATGGGATCATGTGTCTTTCTAAATGACAAAATGATATTCTGGCACTTCTAGGGCTTGGAAGGCTTTAAGATCAGATTTAGCAGCAGACGAGTAAACCTAATGGCAAACTATCATTTCTCAGCCCCATTTCCTGTTATGTAAAGCTGTTGCATGAAATGATTTTCACATTAACATTAGAAGGGCAGTGTTATGACTGAGACCAATGTAGACTACCCACATCCCTTCTCACTATATACACTTCATTATCTTGCTAACCTATGTGTTGAAATAGGTGCTACTTGTTTCTTTGTTGTTTTTAGACAAATGAAGAAGAAGAAAATTGACTCAAAGCCCAAATGCTTGGATGACCAAGAAATTCCATATCGATTGCGGGAAATTATGAAGAGCCGTGAGGAATTAAAGAAGCCTAAGATCAAGAAGAAAAAGAAAATGGGTAAAAAACATAAGCCATGTTTTCCAATCTAGCTTCCAGATTTTTTTTCATGTCAGGAGCGACTTGAGAAACTGTGAGAGAATTGGCCATCTGCAAGGACGTTGCCCAGAGGATGTCCGGATGTTTTGATGTTTTACTATCCTTGTGGGATGCTTCTCTCATGTCCCAGCATCGGGAGCTGGAGCTGACAGAGGGAGCTCATCCGTACTCTCCCTGGATTCAAACCTCCAACCTGTCGGTTCTGCCGGCACAAGGGTTTAATCCATTGTGCCAACGGGGGCTCCTTGATTTTCCCTTAGTTCAGCTAATTTGTTTATGCATACAAATACATTCATATACTTTTGTAGTGCACAAACGTTTTGTGAGGGAGGGCTTTATAAAGCATGATTGGATAGCAGGACTCCTCAAGTGCAAACTACTTCATTATGAGTTGCTTTTGCTTTGTGATGTGAACTTCAGTCTCATGCATTTGGAGAGTGTTGCTAAACATGATCTTCTATAACAGTGGTTCTCATCCTGTGGTCCCCAAATGTTTTAATAATAATAATAATTTCATTTATAGACTGCCCTCTCTCCTCGAGGGGACTCGGCACAGTTTACATATAAAAAAGGCAAACATTCAGTGCCCATAAGCGAATACAGACACCTCAGAATAATACAAAATAATAACTGTAAACTTATAACGAAAGAGAAATTGACATCAAAATGAAAAACTGAATACAAGTAATCAAATAAACATAATTATACCAATAACATAATTGGCAATTAAGACATAAACCTTAAGAGTTTTTTTTTATCAGAAGCAAGTTGCCTCTGGTGTGAGAGAATTGGCCGTCTGCAAGGACGTTGCCCAGGGGATGCCTGGATGTTTTGATGTTTGACCATCCTTATGGGAGGCTTCTCTCATGTCCTTGCATGGGGAACTGGAGCTGACAAAGGGGGCTCATCTGCGCTCTCCCTGGATTCGAACCTACAACCTGTCAGTCTTCAGTCCTGCCAGCACAAGGGTTTAACCCACTGTGCCCCCATGGGCTCCAAACCTTAAGAGAATTATTAAAATACATAAAAATGGTTATCATGGTTGTTTTTTAATATGTACTATAGCAACAGTGGAATACAAATAAGTTAACTGGCATTCCGATGGAATTAAAAGTGTCTTAATACTCCTCCTCTCCATACGCTGAAGTGCATAAGTGTGTTTTCAGGAGCTTTTTTTGGAGGAGAGGAGCGTGGAGCTGTTTTTATTTCTTTAGGAAGGGAATTCCAGAGCTTTGGCCTTCAACTCTCATAAATCTTAACAGCTGGTAAACTGGCTGGGATTTCTGGAAGTTATAGACCAAAACACCTGGGGACCCACAGGTTGAGAACCACTGGTCTATAAGAAGAATCACTGTAATAAATATGTGTAATAACCACCTGAAGTTAACAAGTTCAGATGTACCATTGTCCCTCCATATCTACCAATTCAACTGTATATGGTTTGAACATCTTTGTTGAAAGGTCTAAAAAACAAGCCTTGATTTTGCCGTTTTATATAAGGTAGAACATTTTACTATGCCATTGTATATAACGAGACTTGGGCATTGAGGGATTTTGGTACGCACAGGGGATCCTGGACCCAAACCTGGATACCAAGATCATGCTGTAACTTAATCCTATGTTTTATTTTTGAGGTCAGGTCCCACAGTTTAAGAAGCAATGGAGTAGAGATTGGTGGGAGGTCCTTCTGTGTCTCTTCCCCCCAAATGCTGCTGGGCAGAAGGATAATGTCCTGTGGTCTTGTCTCAGTGAACAAAGAAACACCTGATGTACCAGGCAGCAACATACCAGTGCCGAAATTCAGGAGAAGGAAAGGAGAGGCAGTCTCTTCCTACTTGAATCGCATGGAGCGGGAGACTCAACACGTGTGGCACCTCACCAAAACCCAGCTTCAGCGTGAGCCTGAGAAAGAAGAAATGGTAGAGAAAAAGTCTCAGAAGAAAAAAGAGTAAGATTAAGGGTAGATTGATTTACAGGACTTGGCTTAGGAAGTACTGCAGTCTTAGAGCACTTCTGAGTTGATCCCCTCAGTAGTCGAGTACAAACTGGGCTAGAAACATAGGAGATTACAGTGAGCCCTTCATTTTCACTGGGGTTAGGAGCACAGGACCCCAGTCAAAGTTAAAAAAACAAAAAAAAATACTTTTTTCTAACCTGAGAGAGCACCTCTCTAGGAAGCTTTAGGTCCTCCAGTATAATTCTGTGATCAACTTCTGGCAGTCACACTAAAGAACCTAGAGATTTCTAGAGAAAGCAATGTAATCAAACTTGCAAATGATTCAGTCTGCAAAAGGCAATCCCAAAAATGTTGATGCCCTGGATGAATTCACGAAACCAAGAAAAGATCGCAGCGTTGGCAAGACTGTCAACTAGAACTATAGGAAGCTTTTCGAGTGAAGGGAAAACATGTTGATCCCTCTGCCTCTGGGGGTCAGCCCCCATCCTCCCCAAAAGACAAGAGTGAAATGTATCCAGCAGACCAGACTTAAGTGGGAATAGGTTCATTTGTGAGAAGAGATTGATTTACATCCCACTTACTACTACTAAGCTATCTATTCAAAACAAGGTGTGGATGTTAAAATTCCCCAACACTTCTATAACCCTCAAAACGTCTGAGACTACTATTAGCAAAACTGTTAGGCTATGGAATGATTAGTATTTACCATAAGACCTCTGTAGCCATGGAATCCATATCTGTGGCTTCATTGACCTGTGTACAGGGAAAATTTTTCTCTCTACGAACATTTTAGATAATTGTGATCTGACTGGGAACATATCCCCTCTACATATTGGGGGTGGTATTGTGGTCTTACTGTACATCAGTGAATTTCCTGAAAGAATTATTGGAATAGGTAGAAAAGCAGAAAAGATCAAAGAGCTGAAAAACACGCGTGGCACCAGATGTGTCAGCAGGCAACCAGCAATGATCAGCAAAAGCTATTGAGCAGGGGAAGAATAAGGCTCTTCAAGTCCATTAATATATTTGGTATACTAGATCAGGGTTTTGGTGGCTCTTCCGGCAGGATGAAGATATGATAAAGTAGTCAGTATAAGGGGAATCATACTTGCCCCTATCTTGTTTTCTTTCTTGTAACTGGCAAATCTTTCCTCTGCCTAGAATCCACATTTTCAACTTGATCCTGTACAAGTTACCCAATTGTAACCCCCAAAGTTAGATGGAATTGATTCCCAATATATTCTCCAATATGTCTGTGGTTTGGCATTGAATGGTTGACTCCTGACTCATGCTAAATAGATGTTTGTTTGCCCTTTTCATTCTGATTTGGGCTTGTGATGGTTTTCCTAAAATACATGTGCGTACGTTTAACAAACCTTGTTCAACAACACTGGCTTTTTAGATTTCAACAGAAGAAGATGGATAAAATCCGTAAGCAAAAAGAAGAGAAAAAAGCAGAAATGCTGGAGAAGGAATTACTCAAAGGTAAATATTTTTTTTTCTCAGTTTAGGGCAATGTTTTTACAGAGCAACAGAAACTATTAAAGACTGTTTTACATTGTAAAGTCTTAATATCTCTGGAGATGCTTCCTGTCAGGTTTCCTCCTCAGTAATGCTTTCAAAGTTTTTGTGTGTTATGGATCACAGTTAATTCAAAACCAAATATACAAATACAATCCTTATATAATCATAGTTTTTAAAGAGAAGGCACACAACATGAGATTATGATTATATATGTATGTATGCATGCATATATACTTGTGTGTGTGTGTATGTATAAAATTTGTAAGCCATCCTTCATCCCCAGATGATTATGAGACAATGTGTACCGTATTTTCCGGCGTAGAAGACAACTGGGCGTATATAAGATGATCCCCCAACTTTTCCAGTTAAAATACAGAATTTGGGATATACTTGCTGTATAAGACTACCCCTCTTCCAAAGCACACCAAATATAAATGTTAAAAAACATCAGATTTGATTTAAAATCCAAGACTATCAGAGTGATAGCCAGCTCTTCATCTTAGAAATGGAGATTAGCACCAACCCCCAGTCAGACACAACTGGACTTAATGTCAGGGGAAAATCTTTACCTTACCTAGAGTGAGCCCAGGGCCAGGTCCAATGTCCTTTCCTTAACAACAACAACAATAGAACCCTATAGTTGCAAGGGGACTCCTATGGCCATCCAGTCTAACCCTAATTCTATCAGGCAGAAAAACATATCCAAGCCCTCCCGATAGGTGGCCATCCTTCTCTGCTTAATAAGAAAAATAACAACAATAATAATAGAACCCTAGAGTTGGAAGGGACTCTAATGGCCATCCAATCCAACCCCACTCACTCCTGCTAGGCAGGAAGACACAATACAAGCCCTCCCAACAGGTGGCCATACAGCTCTGCTTGATGTTAATAATAATAATAATAATAATAATAATAATAATGGAACCGTTGAGTTGGAGGGGACTCCAATGGCCATCCAGTTCATTACCACGGAGACCAGCTGAGGGTGGTGGCCTGCTAGGCTTTCCCTGACACCGCCAGCCTGGTGCAAGCTCCACTGTTGCCAGCCGCTGTTGGCCTGGTGTTGGCTCCCCCTTAAATCCGGAGTGGCTACTGCAGGAGCTGAAGCCAGAGCGGGGGCTTCAGCTCCTGCAGCAACGGCTCCGGGCTTGAGGCGGAGCCCGCTCTGCCTCAAGCAGCAGCGGAGCCATCACCAACTATGTTTTAATGCAAAAATAAAAACATAGTTGTCATGAGTCCATCTCCTTGGGGAGGATATTCAAAAATCAGGGTGTCATTATAGAGAAAGCCTTCTCCTTTTAAAAATGTAATACATTTCTCCCATTGAGAGTATGTAAAATCTTTGCTGGGTTGCCTGATACATAGGCAGGATAATATGCAGAAGGCATTTTTTAAGTGAGTGCCTGCATGATGTAGTGGTCTCAGTGTCAGAATATGCCCCTGGAGACTCTGGAGACCAGAGTTTGAACCTTTGCTCAGCCATGGAAATCCACTTGGACAAATCACACACTCTCTGTCACTCAACAAATCCTGCCAAGACAACCCTTTGGTAAGTTCATTTTAAAGTTGCAATAAGTTGGAAATGACTTGAAGGCACACAAGAAGTATCCTTTCAGATATTTGGGGCCAAAGCTTTCTAGGACTCAAAAGCAAAAAATAATAATTTTTTAAAAGCCTTGAATTAGACGTGGTAGCAAAAATAGGGAGCCAATGTTATGTTTTTACAAGTGGTGTCACATGTCTCCCTCCAGGTCAGAATCACACAATGCCTTCAGATGATGAGATTCTTTTCATTGTCCCTCCTTACATGAACTTACAATGTATTTTGTTTAGAAAACAATTCAGGTAAAAAGTTTGTTTTAATTTAGTTTTTTAAAAGATTACCACCCTAAATAAAGCCTAATCCAACAAAAGTATCTTGAGTAGAAATTGATAGTTGAATACCACTAGAATCATGTAAGGATAGAAGAGCAGAGTCAGGCCAATACTATTGCCAGCCTATTTGAGCATGTTAAAATGGAGGACAGGTTAGATGGGAATGTCTACAAACCCTTAGTAGACCATGAAAGTATCTCAAATAGCTACTACCAGGCAAATCATTACATATATTTATCCAGTGGAAACAACATCTGGATACAGGTTTCATCTTCTTTTCCAAACTCAATGTTATTATTTTGAAACCACGGAAACTTTTTGTTAATTGCTGTCTTATGGCAACTTCATGAATGAAGATCTTCCAAGTCATCCTGTTCTCAACAGGCCTGTTAAGGTCTTGCAAACTCAGGCCCAGGGCTTCCTTGATCAAATCCATCCTTCCTCATTTCTTACTTCCTTAGTAAGTATTTTGTCTAGTGAGTCAAGTCTTCCCTGGATACTTCCCAAGTATGACAATCATCTTGGCTTCTATTAAGAGTTCAAGTCTGATTTGTTCTTGGACCCATATATTTGTCTTGTTAGCAGTCCATGGCATCCACAGTACTCTGGTGCAACAATATCCCATGTAAAAGGGAAACTAATTCTCTGTCCTTTCTTTACACAGAATTCTGCAGGAAACACCAGATGCATTTGAACTAGAGCTTAGTCACAGTGTCTATGTCAAAATGCTGGGGCTCTGTTCTTTTCTTTGCTCAGCAATAGAGTTAATCTGCAGGTTCAGACTGTGTTTGCCTCCTGCCAGGCTACGGTGAAAGGGAGACTGTAATGGATTGTAAGACTTCAAGTCAGAGTCTGTTTGCATATGGATTTCTTTTAGAGGTTTTTCCATCTCCTCAGTTATTTGCCTTCTTGTTCCTTTCAGATTCAGTGAAGTTTGGAGATGTTGCCTTACAGCCCCCAACACTTACAGCAAAACCAAAAAAGAGTAAAGACAAGGTATGTTTGTAGTACATCACTCTAGCTGTTTTCTAAAAACTCTGCCAATGCCTTTGCTGTTAAAGTGGAAAGGTTTTGCTTAATGAGCAGCTAAGCACAGGAAGCGCTGACTGGTGATACCTTTAATGGGTCAACCACTCAAAGATTTTGATGTGTTGGGAAAGCTGCTCTTAAAGCTGGCCTTGTGTTTGTGATCATACTTCATTCCATCATCCTTTCCTCTTCGTGCTTCTCTCATTTTAAGCAATCTGTCTTGTCTTCCAGGCTGGCCAGAGACAGCTTCTGCTCACGTCTCTTTTGGACTCTGGTAGTAAAGCATCCATCCCAAAAACAACATATTCTTCTCTTGCTCGCCAAAGGATTGTGCAGGAGGAGCGGGAGCGGGTTGTGAAAGCTTACCGGGACATGAAGAAACGGAAGCAGCAGCAGAAGTTACGGGCTGAGAGCAAGCTTGTTATGGACAAACTGAAGAAGCCAGCCTGAGTTGTTGGTTGAATGCAAGGACAAAACAGCAGAAAAGGATGCTGTGGATCATAGCAGTTTCCCTTTGGTTGGCTTTACCCAGCCATTTGGACAAACAGACTACTTTGTACATGATGGGCAGCTTCATCGCTTGTTGAACTATGTCTTTGCTTCTGGAAGTAGAGTGGAGTCCCTGTGAAACATTTCTCTCAACCCAGTGTGAAGACTGCATTCATTGTTCCCTTCTGGCAATTTCCAATGGAGAAGAGCTTCAGAGGGCGACACTGACATTTTTTTAAAAAAAAGTATACATGTATTTCTTTTTATTAAAGCATATATTTAAAAAGTTCTGCCTTCCAGAGTGTTTTTTGAGTCTAAAAGAGCTTGGTAGGCATGGCAAAATGTCCCCGGCTAAAGGAATGTGAGAAAATAGTTCTTTAGTTTTAAAATGCCATTTATTTATCTCCCAAGAAGCTTTGGGGTTTCAAAAACAACCTGGCTTGGAGCATGGGCTGTATTTTCACCTCCTCCACTAGAAGATGACCATTCCTACTTGCAGTGCAGAAATGGATATGATGTGATCACTCTACCCGTCACTCCAAGGTCTTGTTTTGGTACTTGTTATAAGACTCCTGCCAGTCTTTGAAATGGATAGTGTATGTGTCCGCATCTGGGTGTGCTTTTTATTACAGCTGTCATAACTACAGCTGGTGTGGTGCAGTGGGTTGAGAGTTGAACTATAACTCTGGAGACCAGATTCGAAATCCCTGACCAGTCATGGAAACATACTGAGTGGTCTTAGGCAAGGTTCTCTCTCTGCTTCAAAGGAAGGTGAAAGCAAACCTCTGAATCCATTTTGCTATGAGAATCCTGTGATGGGGTTGAAACATAAGAGAGAATCAACTTGTAGGCACACAGTAAGAACAAACCCTCATTGTGGGTTATGCTAGATAGGGCTGATGGAAATTTAGGCCAAAAATAGCTAGGGGACCACAATTGCTCACTCTTTGCTGAGAATGGTCTCAGGAAACAGTTCTCCTCTTGAACATTGGTATATTTCTAGCATTGCATTTGTTTGTTCCTTCCTGCAAGGAAGAAAGCAGTAATCATTCAACCTATTACTTTAGATCTGAAAGACAGAAAAACAAATTTGCTGAGATCCATGCTGTATCCCACTTTAGACTATTGTTGGATTCAAAACCAAGAAAGGTAGAGAGATGCTGATATCATTGGACCTTCTATGCTTGCCTCATGCAAGACAATGCTATTGTTATTTTAGCTTGCTCTCTTCTGCTTAGTAAAAATGATCCTTGAAAATGCCCTTGTGTCCCCATTCACTTTGCTGAATATTATATGGGGCAGAAGTGGCTGAAATGGAAGAATCAAATAAATCAAACCTATTTCCATTGAGATCTCTGCCCTTCTACCATTTAGGAGTCATGCTTTCTCTTTTTCCTTCCACTGGCTCTGCTTTCTCTCCCTGCTGGGAAAAAATAAGAGTCCTGACAACAGTTGTGTTGGGATGGGTATCTCCAGGGATACAGGTACCTATAAATGCCTTGCCTTTGTGGAGGGCAGAGGAATGGTTCGTGATATTATGGGGTGAGCAGTGTTTCTATTTTGAAGATACTTTATTCAGACTTGGAATACAGGGCTAGTGAAACTGTAAGCTAACAACAATGATTATTTCTCTAAAGTGGAGGAAACGGATCCATGTGTGGTGTGGGATGCCTTCAAAGCAGTTCTGAGAGGACACTTTATACAACAAGGAGCAAGGAAAAATAGGGAAAGAAATAAAAGGTTAAATGAGTTGGCGGCCGAAATAGCAATTAAGGAAGCAGAATTAAAAAAGAGACCAAGAAAAAAAATAGAGAGGCAACTTTTGGTGTTAAAACAAGAGAAAACCCATGCAGAGTTAGAATCTCAGTCAATACAACTGAAGTTTTTAAAACAACAGACTTTTGAAAATGCAAACAAACCTGGTAAATGGTTGGCGAACCAAATCCGGAAAAAAAGACAAATTAATCATATATCTAAAATAACTACATTGGATAAGGATTTGAGGACAGATAAAGAAATTATAGAGGAATTCAGGAGATTTTACATCCAATTATATACAAAGGATAAAATAAAGAAAGAGGAAGTTATGGAGTACATTGGCCAAATGAAACTAGACAAAATAACGGATGAGGATAGAGAAGAATTGAATAAAGAGATATCGGAGGAGGAGATAGAAAAAGCAATTAATAAAATGAATGGAGATAAAGCCCCAGGGCCGGATGGATTTACGGCTGGATTTTATAAATCCTTTAAACAACAGTTACTCCCAATACTTAAAACTATCGCAAATGAAGCGATGAAATATCGGAAAGTTCCAGACTCATGGAAAGAAGCGGAAATCACAGTGATTCATAAGGAAGGCTCCCCGGAAAATGATATTAAAAACTATAGGCCGATCTCTCTCTTAAACACGGACTATAAAATATTTGCAAATATTATGGCCACAAGGCTAAAAGTGTTTCTTAATAAATGGATTGGAGAAGAGCAAACGGGTTTTCTCCCAAATAGACATATGAAAGAAAATATTCGCAATGTCCTTGATATTTTGGAATACTATGAGATAAATCATCAAAAAGAATTCGCTATTTTAGCAATAGACGCTGAGAAAGCTTTTGACAATTTAAATTGGGATTTTTTCAAGATATTAATACAAGAATTGGATATGGGAGAAAAATTTAACAATGCAATTAATGCTATCTATAATTATCAAAAAGCCAAAGTGAAAATAAATGGACAACTGACACAAGAATTTGAAATTGCGAAGGGCACTAGACAAGGATGCCCATTATCCCCACTGATTTTTATAATGGCTATGGAGATCCTAATGAAGAAAATTAGAGAAGATGAAAATATAAAAGGAACGAAAATCGGCAAATTCGAATATAAAATACGGGCGTTTGCAGATGATTTATTAGGAACAATTGAAGATCCAGATAAAAACCTACAACATTGGATAACGAAAATAGAGCAATTTGGAAAAGTGGCTGGATTCAAAATGAATATGAAGAAGACAAAACTGTTATTTAAAAATGTGAAAAAGGAGAGACAAATAAAGATTCAACAACAACTGGGGATAGAGAGTGTAAAGAAAATTAAATATTTAGGAGTCTGGATTACCGCGAGAAACTGCCAACTCTTGAAGAATAACTATGAAATAGTTTGGAATAAAATTCAAAAGGATTTACAAAAATGGAATTACTTAAATCTATCACTCCTGGGTAGAATATCATTAATAAAGATGAACGTTCTTCCAAGACTTATGTTCCTATTCCAAAATATACCGGTAATAAGAAATCAAACTTTGTTTAAAAAATGGAAGAAAGATTTACTTAAATTTATTTGGAAAGGGAAAAGGCCAAGGATTAATTATATAAACTTAATTGATAGAAAAACGAGAGGAGGTCTGGGATTTCCAGACTTGAAAACTTATCATGAGGCTTGTGCTCTATCATGGATAAGAGATTGGATGAATCTGAATAAAGAAAAGTGCTTAAATCTAGAGGGCCACGATTTGAGGGTAGGCTGGCACGCTTATGTGTGGTATAATAGAGAATCCAAGGAAAAAAACTTTGGAAATCATTTCGTGCGAGCCTCCCTATTGAGGACATGGTTAAGATACAAAGCCCTCTTTTATACAGTTACACCTCTTTGGGTCTCGGCGATGGAGGCCCATCAAAGAAGACTCCTTGGATGGAGGATTTGGCCAAGATACAAGGATATTCTGTTGAAAGGGGAAATGAAGATTAAATCGTTTGAACAACTCAAGAATATGTTTGGAAATATAACCTGGTTACACTATCTTCAAATTAAAGAGCATTTTAAACAAGATCAAAAAATTGGATTTGACTGGGAAGAAAACACATGGGACAAAATTTTAAAAACTGAGAAGAAGGTAGTCACAATTCTCTACAATAAATTGATCCAATGGCAAACGGAAAAAGAACAGGTTAAAAATTGTATGATTAAATGGGTCGAAAATCTAAGACGGCCCATTCAATTTAGAGAATGGGAACAAATGTGGAATAAAAAGCTGAAATATACCTATGCCATGGATTTGAAAGAAAATTGGTATAAAATGTTTTATAGATGGTATCTGACTCCGAATAAATTAAGCCAGATGTACCCAAATGTCTCAGATAAGTGTTGGAAATGTGGAGAACAAACAGGCACTTTTTTCCACACATGGTGGACATGCAAAGAAACAACCAAGTTTTGGGCATCTATACATGAGGAAATACAAAAGATATTGAAGAGAAGGTTTAGAAAGAAACCTGAATATTATCTATTAGGATTTACGGACTCTGACTTTAAAGTAGAGGAAAATGAAGATAAATTATTCACGTATTTTACTACTGCGGCAAGAA